CGCGCTAAGCTAAGAGAGAACGCGAATAAAAGAAATTTTATTATCTCCCGTTAAAAGCTTCCGCAACTTTTTATAGCGTGATGCCTTGTTTTTTTTTCAGAAAAAAAATCTTTGAACATTTTTGGCGCCTACTCAAAGAAGTGTCTTAGATTCAATGCGGGATTTGGCGTGGATTAATTATTATTATTATTATTAATATTATTATCGGACATGGATTTTTAATAGAATCTTTGAGTGGCATTTGCCGAGTCTTTCTTGCAAATGGCGACATGATAGGAATCTCCAATTTTCACACATTTTAATTTTAAGTAAATAAATTGTAGTTAAAATATCGGGACATTTTTCTTTATTACACAAGTCTTTTTCATTATGCGCTATTTTTTTAATATTTATAATTCACGTAGATAAAAGATATCTAATGTTAATTATCAAAATGAGTCGCAACTTTTAGGATGCTGTGAAAAAAAATTAATTTTTCAAGGATCTCTAATGGATATGGCGGCCGAAGTACTAATACCTCCCCGATCTCGCGACTTTCTATTCGAAATAAAAGCGGTGAATCAATCTGGCTAAAACCACGGCTTTCCAGGAAATTCCGTGTCGGAATTTCGGGAATCGACGCGGCGTAAGCCTTCGAAAATCCGGTTGAGGTCGGGACCAAGATCCGGTACAATATAAATCAGAGTCCGACGAAGAGAGCGCGTGTCTCACAGCTCGAATACCGTTGCTCTCTCGTCTTCCCATCGATATCTTTCCCGTCGGTCTCTCTTTCTTCCGTTTCCCGCCTCTCCTGCTACGTAATTACGGGCCTTAAGGGTGCAGAACTTACGAGCTCTTTTACCGTCGTGGCTGCCGATCTCGCTGTCCGACAAAAAGAGCACGCGCAGTAAAAAAGAAACGTTTAAAGAGTCGGGAAAGCTTCCCGCCGCTTAAAGCGGGGATTCTCTCGCGGATGGTTGCCCGTAAAAGCACGATGGCCGAAGGAGGCGAACGATGAAAGGGTTTATCACTTTCCAAAGGTCCAGTCGCGAGGATAAAAGGAAGGGAAAGACGAGGGAAAGAAATTCGGATATTATCGAGAGGTCTCGTTGTATTTAAGTATTTCATTTGCACCAAAAAGTGTGATGTTAGTTTGTCTGCAATTTTCTGCCAGCAACTTCCTTGAAAGAAAAATGTATACTCCTTCGAGAAATTTAGAGCTGCAATTTTTAACCGCAAGACACCTGAAAATATCCCTCTCTTTCTTTTTTTCACTTTTCGACTATCTCTCATTATTATTAATCATAATCTTTTATTATTATTATTTTATTATTACTATTCGCTTTTCTGAAATTTCGCGTATTTCAATTTGACAGTCGAAATTATTTTTCCAGCGTCGTTCGTGAACGACGAAAAGTTGTTTCGCGGTCGTGCAACGTTTTCGTTCGGAGGAACAAGAAACGGTGAGCAAACAGGACGAGAATAATCGTCCTCACGTTCGTACACACAGGAGAGGAGGGAAGGAGGGGGGGGAGGGAGCGAGGGGGAGGAAGCGAGGGAAAGACGGCGGCGGCTTCTCACCCTTAGCTCGAAACAATCGCAACTATGCCCCAACAATTTATAATTCCGCCTTGCCAGTTCTCCATCGTTCCCTCGGTGAGGGATTGCCCCTTTCCCTTCCACCTATCGCGCTGTGCACAGTTAAATGTTATTACTTCAGTCGTTGCAGATAATTTCCCTCGTTTGTTCGCCGAAGTGGATTCAGCTTCGCTTTGCTAGGCCCGGCTTCACGAGAAGCTGTCAATTTGAATTCACGCGAAAACTACGGGGTAGCGACGCCATTCGTAGAAGTAACGCCGGCTTTACGCCAAAGCGAGTCGAGTAGTTAATTATTTCCTTACTTTTATCGACGCGAGATAATGAAAGAGGAAGTCGAGGAATTTTCACTACATAAAATAATACACCTACCTGTTAATTTCAGTTTTGTACATCGATTATTCTCTGCAAAATTAGAATTTTATTATGCTTCTGGGCTTTAGAAATGCATTTTCGTTTTCATTCGATGCTCGAGATATTCGAAAAAAAAAAAAATATATATATCTGTCGAGAATCTAAAATAATTTATCGTTAAAGATTTATTGATAAAGATATATACAAAAAATGCATGCATTTTATTACAATATTAATTGTCTTTTTTTTGAAATATATTTTGATTTGATATAACGAGAAATTAAATTTACGTTTGATATAATAAAACTTTCGGTCGAGGGAAACCGCACACGGCGGTACGTTTCCCAGCAATCGTTGCAGAGTGCAAAAGAGAGAGAAGGAAGAGGATCCGCTTTTTAGTCGCCGACATTTTTGCTCCCTTCCCGCCCCCATCCCCATCGGGCGGGGTTGCGTGCATCGGTGACTGCTGGCCTTGCACTAGCGCTCTTTTCTCCGCGGTAAGCACTCCCGGTAATGCGCTTCTTGGTGCATTAACCTGAACCAGGCAGCACGCATATACATGTATGTACGTCAAACCTTTTGTATCCCTCCTTCCCCCATGTCCTTTCCCCCCGGTGCACAAACGCGAGCGCCGGGTTTAATGCAAACCATCCTCCGGGGAAAAGAAATGAGCTTCCTTTCTCTCCCCTTGACTGTGCCTTTCGCAATCTTCATCGTAATCGTTAATCGTTCTTCATGGCTCTTATGCCATCAGTTGTATTACAATCACCTGAATTGCTGACGCAAATTTTTCCGCCGGTTTCATCTTAAAACAACGCATTATGCGTCTTTCCTTTAACGATATTTTTGCAATATGTCTAGATTCTTCACGAATAATCTCATTTATTAATAATAATAAAAATATAAAGTATAGATACAATATACGAAGGGGGACTTAAAGAATCTGATACAAAGAATTTGTAAGAAAAATTTAAAATTTATGAATCGACACAGGAAACTAAAGGAAAATATCCAAAAAAGTGAAATAACCAAATAAAATTAATAAATTGCTTGCCAATGAATTTGTGACGCTTTAACATTACCAGAAAAATAATAATATAATATTAATAATTATTAATATAATAATTTATATAATATAAATATAATCCATCAATACTATAAATTTTCATAGAAATCGCTGACTAAAATAAAATACATGTAAAGATTGAATTAAATTAATTTGATATTGAATTAAGAGCTGCATTTGCTAAAAGATGCCGCGCGACTATCTTCGTGAAAGAATTTTTGATTAAACTTGCAATTAACTTTTTTCATATCTTTATTCTATCCTCATATCCTTCCGAACTTTGCTGCTCGCAATTCCGAGAGAAGATTTTCGAGAGTGAGAAGAGCATCAGAGTAAATGCAAGGCAGGCGGCAGGTAGAAAACCTTGAAGAACGAGAGAGGAACGTGAAACGAAAACGGATGTCGCGGTCGAGGGGGACGAAATCGTTAAAAGGAATGCGCAGTCGAGCGAAAGAGGCCTCGAGAGAGATTGGCAGTGGGGGTTGGTCGGCCAGTTGAAATAGTGTAGAGAAAGCTCTAAAAAGCATCGCTCCAGGAAGACACCCGCCACCCTATTCCATTTCAGTTCTTCGGTTTCTTGCCTCCAAGAAAAGAGAAATTTTTTTCTTTGACCTCGGCTTCAACTTTACATTAATGATATTAATCTTTAACAAATTAATAGCTATATTAATCGTTCCTTTAAGTGAATTCAGATAGAATTTTACATGTACGTCCTTTTCCTCTCTTCTTTCTCCTTCAATATTAAATATTAAATATGTTGAATATTTTATATACTCTTGATATTTCACTTTTATTACTATCATAAAATTAATTGGAAATTATTGAAATTGAAAAGTTTTTAAATCATAAATTAAAATAGGGAGAAAGTATTATTATAATATAAATTAATATATAGCAAAACAAAAAATTAAATTTGAAATAAATTTATAGGAAAGCAATTAAAAGAAAGATTTTTAAACATTTTTAACATTCAGTAATAACAGACTGTAAACTCTCATTCTGATCAATTTATTCTGATTCTAATTATGTCATGTATATCTTGATTTAGAAATCATTTTATCGCAAGTGTTTGATATTTGCGATACTGTGTGTCTTTTAAAAAATTAAATCGTGACTTAAATTTGCAGAATGATACCGAGCGTTATCGCTAACAGCAGCTCAAAAATCCGACCTTGATTTGTTTGAAGATAATTGCTCCTTTTTCTGCTTTATTTTTTTTAATATAGCTCATCTAATATTTTAAAAAATTTTTTAAGGTTTTCAAAAATATATTTCTCTTTGACTGTTATTTCTTTTTTCAGTTTAAAAAAAGCGTGTCAATTTCTTGTTTGAAATTTTATTATAAAACTAATTCGCTAATTAGATTGATTTTTCATATTTTAATTGGCTATTGATTCTAAAATTATCAAAATTATGAAAAAGATAATTTGTTGAAAAAGATTAATAATTTATAAAAACATTTTCCCTCATTTTTAATCTGCGATTATATATAATGTATATACAAGTATTTTATTTTCTTACTATATATCTGAAAAATTATAAATTCAGTATATTATGAATAAATTGAAGATTTTGGAAAATTATAATTTCTTAATTCTTCACTTTTTGAACGATTCATAATAATATAATTTGAAATTATAATAGAATAGAATTTTATTTATAATTTTAGTCGTATAATACAAAAAGCATTTTTAAACATGCAAGATTGAAAATATATACATATATATAAGATATATATTAGGACATGTGGCGCATAAAATTATGGATAAAACTCTATTTTGAATTTTATCGCGTATTATAAATTGTAATTATAAAACTTTATCCACACGTTGAAAATTCAGTTACTTCAGAAACTTGAGTCCTGAGTTTGAGTAATTTTGAATAATTTCTTATCAATCTTTTGATATCGCAAGGAAATTGGCGGTTAGGAAACTCGCGATAAATAAGACACATGTGTACACATTAATACACATAAAGATTGGTACATCATAATTCTTATTTCAATGGATTTTCGCTCAGTTGCGTTTTATACTGCGCGATATTAACATGCAATTTCGAACGTGAATAGACTTCGTAACGCATTAAAAATTGCAGACTTGCAAATATTGTTTGCTCCAAGCGATCATAATTTCTTGTCACCTCGTTGTTAATAAACTATACTATTTATCTCAAAATGACGCGAATCCGTGCAATTAATTTGATCGCATTTTGCACATTCGTATTTTTTGTTGATAAGAACAGTGTAACGGAAGCTCATAGCTTGAAAGATTATTTGAAAGGTTTACGTAGCCTGTCGCAACTTAAGAATCTTCGACATGGAATTCTCCCAGGTAAATATTCTTATTTTGCACTAGAAACATAAGTATTTCAATTATTTGACATTAGATTCCAATCTTGGAATTTGTGTTATTTAAATAAATTTCTATAATAAATAATGTATCAATAATATAATAATTTATACAAATTATATATTATTTTGATTTTTAATTAATCTTATTTATTTGTATATATATTATCTTTTTTCATTTATTTTATTTTATTATAAAAATTATATACCTGTAATGTCTAAATTTATTATTTAGCGTCACACGTGGACATTAAACGAGTCTGCTTATTCGTATTCGTGTTTATAGGTACGCTTTGGTGCGGGCTGGGAAATATTGCTCGCAATGATTCTGAATTAGGTTTGTACAGCGAGATAGACACGTGTTGCAGAGAGCACGACGGCTGCGAGGATTCCATAAGCTCCAAAGCTACAAGATACCGACTGTACAACAAATACTTCTGCAGAAGGTAATTGCGATTACATGAGTTTATACGTGTCGCGTTACGGTCGTTAAGCGCGCGAACTCACTTTTGACTTTTCGCAGCTCGTTATGCGAGTGCGATTTGCAATTTTACGATTGCTTGATGCGAATACGCGGGCTGTACGCGGCCGCTGTGGGAAAGGTATATTTCAAAAAATGCAACCAGTGCTTCCGTACCTACTACGATCCTGAGGAATGCATAAAAGAGTAAGTGCAATAAGTGCGATGAGATATACGAGAAAGTATGCGAGATATTTGAATTGCACCGAGAAAGAATTTTATTATGAAATTTAAATGAGGATGATACGACAATAGAATGCTCGCTGGTCAATTATCGGTTCAACATGAGACGGTAATGTCGATGATTTTTCGCTACGTTCGTTACGTTACATTCGCTCTCTATTAACGGGAGCGGTATCACGTTCGCTTAATTTGTTATCCATCAATTAACTGGCGAGTGAAAAGTGAGCCGACATCGAAATTGTTTGTTATTTTGACATCGATTGATTTCTCATCAAACGTTAATTAATTACATCGTTCATTAGGGGCCTCGATGTAACCGAAGAGATGGATCGTAAGGGTCGTCGCGTTTTCTGCGCAAAGTTTGACCAAAATCCAAAATGGGGACAACGACACAACGTTACTTCGCCTCATAGATCGATCTACGTCGACGAACTTTTAAACTGGCCGGATGATGAAGTCGCGCAGTACGTTCCACAATCTTATCCTCCGAACGATAGAAGATACCCCGTCGAGGAAGACGACGCTATGAGAGATATCGAAGATAATTATTAATGAATTTTCACGTCGCACTTTGCGCTCGCAGATTCGCCAAAATTCTCGAGAACAGCAATCTTTTAACCCATTCAAAAAGTTATTTGACAATTCAATCTAAATTTTGAAAAGTCAAAATAAATGACGCCAGTCGAGATGAAGGATACACTCCTTTTTAATATATATAATTTTATTATTTATATATTTAATTAATAAAAATCTCTATTTTAAGAATTTTCTATTCGATGATTTTGAAATATTTATAAAATAGTCCTCTTTCTTGGCTCCTCATTTTATAACAAAAATTTTTCGATTCCTTCGCAAATTTTTCACTTGTAAAAGTGGGAGTGGATCGTCCCCGCTGCCGCTTAAATTGCACATACCTAAATGACATTGGCACTGGAGAGAATCCTACCCCCCCGAGTACGATTCCGAAGTCCGCTCCGAAATTGCTTCGTCCTCGATACGGCGGCCGTTCGCGAGAGTTGCAGAGGGGGCAGGGGGTTACTTGAAAATCCGTCGAGAATTTTATCGCGAGGCTGTAGACACGGGCGGTCGAATGAGCGAAGCTATCTCCATTCTGCGATTTTTTTTTCTTTCTTCGCTATACTCTTTTGCAGCTTGGGAAGTGCTACCCTCGGAGTCGCGTCTCGCCCCCTTCACTCTCGCGCGGAAAGAATGTTCAATTATGCAAAAGTGCGCGCGCAAAAGTTTCGCCGCGAGAGCGCTTGTTCCGACGAAGGGTGTTTTCAAATTAATATTGACGAGGGGGAGAGAAGGAGTGGCTAATGCAAATCAACAGTCGGCGCGTTGTTAAAAATTGTCTATTACGTGCGCGTTATTGCCGTTTCTGCTTTGCGTCTTTTCCACTAATTTTATCATCTGTCAATTTGACAAACAGCATGTTAGAAATTACCTTATACATCGTTTACAATTGTAAGAATTGTTACATACTGTAAAAAAAAAACTTAACGAATCAGTCGTTAATAGATTCCTGAGATCATTTGGAAACGAAAATCTTAAATACCAAAATGTTGAGAAAGATCTAGTTTCGGCTACAAAAGATTAAAGATTACCAATCGCGTTACGTTCTCCTATGTTCTAGGATAGCACATCAAGGGCCCCGCGATAATATCGATATCGATAGAGAGAATATGAAACAAAAAATATATATTTTTTCGTCTCCAAATGATCTCAGGAAATCTGTAATAAATTTCATTAACAGCTGATTCGTTAAGTCTGGGACACCCTGTATATATACGCGTTAGTTTATATAAACGCATTTCTTTTACGTTACTTAAATAGGTTACTTACGTTACGTAGATTCTCTTACATTATGTGAATGAAATATTATGAAGATAAATTATGTATTCTGATAAAATAGAGCCAACAATATAACAAGCTACTTGGATGAAAACAAATATAAAATTCCGCCATGATTTCACATATATGCGGAAAATGTTCCACTTCTGTCAAGTCAGGGGAGCTTAGTTTTTCGGAGATCAATCTCTAGTTTCACTCGTAACGATCTTTCTTATATCTCGCGATATTCTTGCGCCAGCGAGCTTCTTTCATTAAAAGACACGCTTTTTATATATTTCTCGACGCTTTATTAAAAAGCCTTTAGGAATATTGCCGCGACTCGAACCTCGCTCGTTTGAAATCTCTCTTAAGTGCCTTGTATTATAGAGTCCTCTTGAGGAAAATGGCAAAATTGCTAATAAAAAGTGTACGAGGAATTTTCTTCCATTCGTCACGGGCGAAGCGGAAAACGTGAAAGGGCCTAATATTTTTGCACGATTTTCACTAGTTTGCACAGGATTTCTAATTGGAGTTTCATTAACTTGAATTGAAACGGGCGATGCCGGCAGAATTTTAATTGGAGTCTTTTGATGGATTCTTTTCCTTAGTCCTTTTTAATTCCTATCGACGGCAACTACAATCTTGAAGTAATGTTACATCATAGTGCTCTTTATACAGAACGTCCAATAAATTTGTCGGCGTGAATAATTTTCTATGGAAAAACAAGTAAAAAATATGGAATAAATTTCATTAACCGCGTTGGTTTCCAGAAAACTAGCTATCCCTTCCTTCTCCCTCTTCTTTCTTCCTTCCCGCATAAATGTGAAAAAATATACAATATTATAAAGATTTAAAAAATATAAATATTATAAAGTATTTATAAAATATTATAAACAATTAATTTATAAAACTATTCAATATATCTTATCAATAAATATATACCTTAAAAATTAATTTATAAAATATTATAAAATATACAATACGTATATATAATATTTATTAGGATATTTAAATTATTAAAAATATATTAATGTTAGAAATAAATATATAATATTAATATTGAAATATTATAGGCATAAATATTATATAAAAAAAATATGCATAATTAATAATATATTTTTGATATCTCGGAAAAGGAGTTATAAAGAAATATTTGCTACATCTTGAGAGGATGTTTTCTGCTCGGTTTGTTCGGAAGAAAAGCGTCCACATGACGCCACTATTTTCTCATATATGCGACTCTACCCTTCATCCATGTCGTCGACAAAACCACGGGTGGTTTTTATTAAAATGTTGAACCCTCTCTTCTCCGTTCCTCCCTCACCACCGTTGAAGGAATCAATTCTTACGGGCGATATTACCGGCCTTTTCTCATCCCTTTCAATTTCTACGCCTCTCTTACCCGAATTTCGATTTCGTTTGAATCATGCGCGCATATCGACTTATACCTGCCTCGCCGGATTATCCGCGAGAAAAAGGCAAAAGGATTGGAGGGGGAGGGGAAGTATGAGGGAATCGACGTTCTGGAAAGGGTTGGAAATGGAAAGGCGCCGCGTTTCCGTCGTCGACACGTTTAAATCGCTGCACACCCCCATTTCGTAATCCGCAGGAAGGGCATAGATCATTTTCACCCCTTTACAGCACGAACGTGTATATTCGTGACGCGAATTGAGACATCACCTCCGAGAATCAAGTGATCGAGAAACTAAAAACGATGCTTAATATTAAATATATAATATATATATATATATAATATATAATATATATAATATATAATATATATAATATATAATATTAAATATATTATTATAATACTTGATTATATCGTACAATCTCCATTAAATTATTTAATATAATATCGCTGAATAAAAGTAAATTGACAAACATAATGCGTGAAAAGACAACAGATTGCACTGAAATTTAATTCACTAGAGCCTTTACGTTGCCGAATACAATTAACATTCTTCAAATTTTTGCATCTTCTTTAACTTTCCAGATCATTACTATTTGATCATTTTTCTGCTCGATTGTGTGCTAAATACGAGTTGGATGTAACGAGAGCAGAGAAAAAGCGGTTGTAGAGGATTGTTTTCCTTTGCCACGTTTGTTCGTCGAAGATAGGTGGTTCGGTTTCACCGATCACGTTGGGCTGATTGATCCTCGGCTGTGTATCGAGTACACTTTTAGCACTAAGAGAAGCCAACAATGCTATCTTCTCGATCACCTCGAGAATCGTGCGACCCGCGCGATATAAATGGTATGTTCATCTATTAGATCGCTTTAAGAATGCTTTCTTGTCACACGTACAACGCACACGCGAATCGAAAGTTCACTCGTCTTTACCGTTTATACGACGCGATAGAGCGCGACGAATCGCGAAGAAAGAAGAGCTTTCTCTCAGGCTTGCGACACAGCGAGCTCTAAGATGTTTGACCCAAGAATTGTCGAGTTGTTTGTCACCAGAACGGAATTCCCATCGTAAATCGATAGATAAGTTCTCTCTTTTTTTAAGTTTCCTCAATTGAAAAATATTTAATTTACGATCAAGTATATAGCGTCTTTCCTATATTCTCAACCGGAGCAAAAAATGGCGATGCGTGGAGAAGTTTATGCATAACGTGCTTCAAAATAACTTATTTACATAATTTTAATACTTTAACTAATTTTACACCAGTTTTCAAGGTTTCATAAAAAAAATTCTCATGTTGGCTTTCGCATCAAAGGGGAATTAATTTTAGATGAGTTGCTCCTGCTCTTTAGCATTGATAACTTTGATCGCTCACTATATACGAGGATGGTTTGAAAAGTCCGTGCAAAGTCAGAGAAATAGCATCAATTCTAAAAAAAAATTCTAAAAAAAAGGATGGAGGAGAATTTGGCCGCAAAATTGACGGAGTTAAGGTTCCAACTCGTTCCGCATCTCTCCTATTCTCTAGATTTGGCTCCCTCGGACTGCTACTTGTTCCCCAATATGAAGACATGGCTGGGGATTTTATTCAAACGAGGAGATGATTGCGGAAACAAATGCCTATTTTGCAGAGTTGAATCAATCCTATTATTCGGAAGGGATCAACAAACTGGAGCAGCGTTGGACGAATTGCATAAGCCTAAAAGGAGATTACGTTCAAAAATAAAAAAGATTTATCCCGAAAAATGAAGTAGCTTTCATTCTTGCACGGACTTTTCAAACCGTCCTCGTACATCTCGGTTTAAAAATTTGTTTAAAATAACAGCGGATGCTGAAATGTTTACCTATTCAAAGTTGGAAATCGATGAAAAAATGTTAATAGATGGATAGTAAAGAAAATTTCATGGTTTATTTACCGCTTAAAAGAAAAAGTCCGCAGGCTACGAGAGTCCTGTGATCGGAATAACAATGGCCGATCAGAGCTGACACTGTTGCTGCGAGAATCAAGATCACGGCGGCGACTTGAAACGGCGCGGAGATCCTGAAACAATAAACGACAGAAAGTTTAGATAATCGCGTTACAAGAGAGAGAGATAGAAATATATCGTCGATGCAGCCGCAACATGATACGCTTTAAAAGCGTGCTATTTTTAAATATTCTCCGGATACGTTCCTCAGGGTCTACGAGAAAAAGCGGCCCCCTCTCCGCATCTTTCGTTTTATTGCAACCCCGCTTCTGGAATCGATAGCAATTTATAGCAGCCTCATTAGGGTGCTGAAGTGTGACTTTACGTCTTACTCTTCTCGCGCGCGTTAAGCGACGAATAAAGATCGCAAACTTGAGAAAGAACATATCGATCGAAGGAAACTCCTCTACGAAAAAATAGTGGACGAATATCGCGATTTATCTACGTCATTCAAAGAGATTACGTATCGCAAGCTTTGACTTTTTGCGAGTGCGAGTCTGATCTTTCGTCCATCAAAACAATTTATCATCGTGTTTTGAAATCTGTGAGCTAGATCCTTAAAGAGTTAAAAAAGAGTACGCATAGAACTCCACACAGAAAAAAAGGACATTCTTGTTTTGAAAATATATTTAGTTTTAACGTGGAAATCTTGAAATGAGATTATATCGCGTTAATTAAAGGAAAATATAATTGCTTGAATAATTGCTTACTTGAATGAAGTTATTTTATATAGTTATGATTTAAGATTTAATTTTCTTGAATAGAAAAGAAACAATGTTAGATAGAAAATAACATTTTTCAATCAAAGATTATAATTTTCTTAAAGTAGAATTAAATAATTATATATAATTAAGGTGACAATTACAATATTAAAATAAGACTGTAATATTGTTAAAATTTAAAATTATTAAATTCTTCTAAAAAGATTATAAATTGTTGCGTATATACGAAACAATGAACGTTAGTTTAAGTATATAAGTTTTGATTTGACACATTTTTTTCTCTGTATCTATCACATTTCTGAAAATTCCCGAAAACTATATTTATAGAAAATTATATTTAAAAATGAAATCATATAATGTAATTATTTTATTATAATATTGCTTTATGATTTGTAATTCACGATGAAATTCAAAATGGAATTTTACGTTATATTCTAGGATTCTGTTGAATTTTGTCGTGAATTATACATAGATTGTCTAAAAGGCGAGTTTAAGCAGTAAATATAAATATTGTTTCTCAACTTTTCTTATATTTAAGTAGTTGGGATTTTATATAAAATCGGAGAGAAAGCGAACAACGAATTATTTAAAGTACTCAATAGTAATTCTTAATTTTAATGACATTTTTCTTGAAAATTAATTATTAGAAATTAAATATAAAATTAATTAGACACTTTTTTTGCAAAATAATTGAAACAATGAACGCGTTAGTTTAAGTATATAAGTTTTAATTCAACACTTATTTTTTTTCCGTGCAGAGATGTGTAATTGGAATTTGTTATTTAAATTGCGATAGGATATCGAATGTGTGAGGAGTATTTATCACGCTTGAGGATTGGGCGAAAATGGCTTTTAACGCCCTGAGAAACGTATCGCGAAATTCTCGTCACACTCGGCCCTTAACCTTCCTCTCTCCCTTAACCCTCACCCCCCTCCAACGTAGTCGCAGCCCTCAACCAGCCTGCGCCCTCTCGGTGGAACGCGAATCGTTAACATCGCGAAGGATTGTCGTTTGCAGGCGGAGGGTGGCTACCCGCGACGTGGCGGCTCTCGAGAGTTTCGAAGCTGCGCTATAATACATGTATTCGCAGCTATCGGGGTAAATGGGGCATGTACCGAGTAAGGGTGCGCACCAAACCGTCTATCGATTCGCTCCGACAGGTTTAAATCTCGATCTCTCGCTCAAGCTTAAAAAAGTTTTGCGTTTAATGTGCGCACACAGGTGCAAAATTGAAGAAATATATATTTGAATAAAAAAAATTTGATTTTGAAAATAATTAATTTCTTTAGGAAAAGAGAATTCCTCTTCCATTAATAATCCTCTATTTTTAACGTGTTCAAATATGTGTTTCCTACTCAAATTGACAGACGTGATTAGCATAATATCAAAATTGCAAAAATTAGAAAATAAAATGATTGTATAAAATGTAATAAAATGATGAATAAATGATGAAATAAATGAATAAATGATGAATAAATGAATGATGTAATAAAATGATGAATTTTATATGATTGTAACATTTGTAATTTCTATAATATTTTTACACGATTTTAATATGATTGTAAAATAAAAAATGTATTACGTGCATCACTGACAGTTTAAATAATTCTTAGCTTTATTCAATATACAGGTTGTCCCAGACCACCCGTACACCTCTTTTAAAATGAAAATAAATGGCTTTTATCAAAAACCATGAACAATTTTTAAGTAAATCGGGTACGCTCTATTAAATGGTGATATTTTTAACTTTTGATTCCGATCGGAAATACGTCATCCGGGTCGGAAGTTGAATTTTTTTAGGGGAACATGATACTTTTTTGTTACAGATTCGAATTGTACGTAAAAAAATAAGAACTTTTGTATTAAATGTTTTTTCTAAAAGTGCCTCTGTCAATCTTAAAATTGATCTTGAAAGTAACTAAGACTGAAACTGAGAGCGTATATATCCGATTTACTTAAAAATTGTTCGCGATTTTTTATAAAAGCCATTTATTTTCATTTTAAGGGGGATGTACGGGTGATCTAGGACACTCTGTACATATCGCGTTTATTAATATTGATTCGAGAAAAATGATTAATTATATTAATATGAATTATTAATATTGATTCGAGAAAGATTTTTAATAAAGATTTAAACGATGTTATATAACTTTATTATTTTATCACTTTGTTATTCTCAAATACATGTTTTAAAGCTAACAGACGATGTTATATTCCTGTTGGAGAAACTAAAAAATAAAGTAAAAAAAGCAAACATTAATATGACCTGTAAAACAGAAAAGTGTGTATAGAAAATAAAAAAAAATTTATTACACGCTCCATTGACATTTAATAATTCCCAGCTTTACTCATGCGTTACGCGTTGAAATTAAAATCGATTGTAAATTTTCGAAAATTGTGAGGATGAGGTAGAAATGGCTCCGATAATTTTCCATAGGTGTGCATAAATTTGAGGCGCGCGATGGCCATTTCTGGTTAGCCGAAGTTGAGTCCGCTTTTGGGAAGGCGGATGCGTCTGGAACTCAAGGTTCCCGAGCGTAAAGCTCGAAACTCTCTCCCGGCTGCATGCAACAATGCAATCGCGCGTCGTCTCACGATCCCGTCGCCGCGCGGTAATTTCGTGGAATCGAATTATGCGGCGTCGGTCTCGCTGCGGGAGATGGAAATTAATAGTTTCGGGGCCGGCAAGCGAGACAGACGTAGAGATGGAGAGGAAAAGCTTGCTATACGCGTCGACGCGGCGACGGCGACGAGGGAGCAGGAGGCCGGCGTTGTTCGCCGATGGGACCGGGTACGGATATTGGGCAGGCAGGCCTGTCCGCCTGCCCGCCTGGCAATAAATCAGGAACGTCCCGCGGTAATATACTGCTCAGTCAGCCTGTTTAGCCGTAATAAAGCGTATTGCTCCCAAAACGGGACCGGGATCGAGAAGTCTCGCAAGGCGCGGCTTCGCGGTTTCGAAGCCTCGGTGAATCGATAACGTTGCATCGCTGAACTTGAGTCGCGAATCCATGCATTCTGGAAGGTCGGTTTATCTCGCTCGAGTGTCACCAAGAGCGAGCTACGGATGTTTTCAATGAGTTTCGCTGAATTTGAGGTTTTCAAGTGACCAACCCGCTCGAATATTCAAGTCTAATTTCAAGTAGCGGTCTGAAGTTATTTTTGCGAAAATTGACGCGCGTCCCCGTCAATAATACACGGTTAGTCCCCTTTTCTCGAGTACATATATCTATCTGTATGGATCAATAAACGCTCGCTGAGAGAGTTAAAGCTCTCGACGCTATCTAGACTCTTGGATGAATCCTGTCATGGATACTGTTTTCTGTCGGATCTTAAAGGATTAAAATCTTGGCTGTTAAGACGCAAAGTTCGTGTCGGAAATACGAAAGAAAGAAAAGATCGTCGAGATCTTTCGAGAATTGCAGAATGTCGCGTTGCTAGGAGGCTGCCTCGAGGACGAAGTGGAGAAAAATTTCTTTTTCGAGTGGGCGACAAATATCGTTTCTACCTCGATTCGATAGCAATCGAGGGAAAACAAACGCTCGCTCGAGGGACCGAGGATGGATTATTTTGTCGAAAGCTCCGGGAATCTTTCTTTTTCGTTTTTCTCGCCCCTTTTTGCCCTTTTCGCTTTAAGTCAACTTTTTTATTTGACTCTCGATGAAACATTAAAATTGCTTAATATTTAAACCATTAAACACACACGAATCTTCTCAAATATTTCTCAACTTTTATGTGTGTTTAATATCGAATTCTTGATGTTGAAATATTTATTTCGAATTCTTGATGTTGAAATATTTATTTTGATATATATATAATACAGTAAACAATATTTAAAATATCAGTTTCACTTCTCATCGCGGAATTTTTGTTCTACACAGTTTTGTTTAATACAGATTTCTTTATTTTTTTATACCGACACAACTACATGAAAAATTTACATCGATATTGCTGCAAAAAAACATCGGAAAAATTTTACATAAAAAAATATCTGCATAGATATATTATTCCATAAATATCTAATGAATGCTACAAATACCTTCCCGATATTAAATAAACCCTTTCTCTAAGATAATTTCAGTTCATAAAAAAGTAGCAATATCTGTTTTACTCTATTGATTAATACGAAACATATTTCTATTATACATCAGCTGATCATGTGTCAAATGCAGACTGTCGCTCTCCTCTCCCCGAGTAACCGTTGATTTACCGGGATACTTTGTACTTTATGAAGGAGCCTTCGTCTCCGGTAAAGGAAGGTATTTAATGCGCTTTGTGTCAAGCCGACCGCAAGCATCTCTACCGTTTGCTTCGGACCAATTCGGACAATTTGACGGGCGGCCGGCTAGTG